CACAAAAATAAACAATAATGAACAAGAGTCTGCTTCTAGACCTGCAGAAAAAGACAAAAAAAAGCAAAAGGACAAAAAAATGGGACACAAAAACAATACAACAAGATCTAGCTATCACTGCGTCAACTTGATGAAGAAATATATAATCAACATTGCTTAACTGAAGAATCACGATAATAAATCACAGTGCATTAAGTGCCCACCATTGTCTTAAGACCTGTGTTTAACGTGCCCAAGCCCATACTTTTGAGAGCCAGGATTTGAAAAGACATCTGTAGATATCGAAGTAACAATTCAAGCTTTTTTGCAGTCATGTGAAATACCTGGTTTACACAAGAGGCTGTTGCTCTGCCTTTGCTGTAGCATTTAAAATACGTCCAAAGGACATTTCTGCCCTCCTTAGGCAACATGCTAGCTTTAATACGAAGCTGTTATTATGTTAGAAAATATTTAGCTCAGGGTGAATTTATAAAGTCAAATTATCAATGACACATCAAAAAATATAATAATCAGTTGTGTATATAGAGCACCCGGTTCTTGCATCAGGTCATTTACAGATAAAATAAATGAGTTTGTGGATCATATTAAAAACAAAACATTGTTTATGTGTGGGGACTTTAACATTAACTTAGAACATCCTGTGGCTCTTAGAACATCAAGTGATTTTTTTGATATGATATATAGTTTAGGTTTGGTTCCTTTGATAAACAAACCTACCAGGATCACAACCGAAAGTGCAACAATAATTGATAATATATTCACTAATAGAAAGGAGGACGTTGTTAAAACTGGGATATTGATGACAGATATTAGTGATCATTTACCTATTTTCGTAGTGTCTAAATATCACAATAACAATAAAAATATCATAAAACATAATTGTATTAATTATAAAAGAAATAAATCAGTTAAAGCCCTGGAGGACCTAAATAAAGATCTTAAAATGCAGAACTGGACGGAAGTCTATGTCAGTGATGTGAACAATGCATATACATCCTTCATGAAAATTCTGCTGAAATCGTTTAACAGTAGTTGTAAATTAATTAAAATAACAGGTAAAAGGGACAACCAACCATGGATGACTAATGGAATTAAAAATGCATGTGCCAAAAAAAATAGTCTGTATATGAGATTCTTAAAGTTACAAACAAAGGAAGCCGAAGACAGATATAAAAAATATAAAAATAAATTAGTAACAATAATTAGAAAACAGAAGAAAGAATACTATGGTGAGCTATTGAATAAGAACAAAGAAAACATCAAGACTACATGGGGAATAATAAATAATGTGATTAACAGAGATAATACAAATGCGAGACTCCCAAACTACTTTGTAAAGGACAATAAAGACATTTATGAAGTTAAAGAAATTTCTAATGAATTCAATGATTTTTTTATAAATGTAGGAAGGAGTCTGGTGGAAAGCAAACCAATAATTCACGATACAATGAATACAATACCTAGAAATGTCAATAGTATTCTCCTTGACAAAGTAGATCAACAAGAAATAAGAAACATTGTAAAAAACTGGGGAAGCAAAAGATCAACTGATTGTGATGATCTGGACATGGTGACTGTAAAAGCTATAATTGAATCTGTTATTGAACCATTCACTTACATCTGTAATCTGTCACTATCTACAGGAGTCTTCCCTGATTTAATGAAAATTGCCAAGGTGGTTCCATTATTTAAGAGCGGTGATAAACAGAGTTTCACTAATTACAGGCCAGTGTCACTGCTTCCACAGTTTTCCAAAATATTAGAAAAAGTGTTTGCATTAAGGTTGGACAAATTCATTGACGAAAATTCAATTTTAAATCATGAACAGTATGGCTTTAGGACCAAACATTCAACAGCAATGGCAGTTATGGATTTAGTAGATAAAATTTCATCAGCAATTGACAATAAAAACCATTTCATTAGTGTTTTTATTGACTTAAAAAAGGCATTTGATGTCATTGATCATTCAAGGTTACTTCTTAAATTACACCGGTATGGAATAAGAGGGGTGGCGCATCAATGGGTTAATAGTTATTTACGCAATAGAAAACAGTTTGTTCAAATAAATAATGCTAAATCTGAATTAAAAGATATTTATTATGGTGTACCACAAGGGTCAGTCCTCGGACCTAAACTGTTCATATTGTTTATTAATGACCTGGCAAATGTGTCGAATTTACTTGGCACAGTTTTATTTGCGGATGATACTACATTGTTTTATTCAGGATTAAATATACATGAAGTAACTCAAGTGATAAACAGTGAATTGATTAAAGTTAAAAAATGGTTTGATATAAATAGACTGTCACTGAACCTGAACAAAACAAACTATATACTGTTTAATAACAAAAGAAGCTGTGATGTATCTTTAATGATAGATGGAATGGAAATTCAAAGGGTAAAAGAAACCAAATTTCTTGGAGTCATGTTCGATGAGAGTCTCACGTGGAAATCACATGTAGGTTATATAAAGGGGAAAATTGCCAAAGCCATAGGGGTATTATTTAGAGTCAAGTTTCTACTAAATTTGTCGGGGTTGTTAACATTGTATCACTCACTGATTGAACCATATTTATTTTATTGTTTAGAAATTTGGGGAGCCACTTGCAAAACTTTTACACAACCATTGATCATTTTGCAAAAAAGAGCATTGAGAATCATTAATAACAGTAACTATAGAGATCACACTAATCAATTATTCATTAGATACAAAATACTGAAATTTCCTGACTTGGTAGAGTGGAAAATATTGCAAATAATGTACAGAGCGAATACAAGTAATCTACCAACTAATATTCAGAAAATGTTTCATAAGAGAGTAAGTGGGTACATGTTAAAAGGAACTGATGTCTTTGAGAAACCTAGATTCAGAACCAAAGTGAGGGAATGTAACATTTCTGTAAATGGTGTAAGATTGTGGAATGCCATTAACAAGGAATTTAAAGAATCAACTACACTTGCAATATTTAAAAAATGTATAAAATCTAATGTATTTAGTAATTATGAAAAGAAGAATTATAATGTCAAAGATTAGACGTGAAAATATTATAAAGTGACCGAGGTTATATTGTGTTTGTTTGGCGGATAATTTTATTTCGTAAAAAGGGGCAGAAATCATAAGATTTTTTCTTCTGTCTGCTCCTTTTCATTCAAATGTTTTTTTTTCAATATGTTAATGTATCCTGTATTTGTTTGTGTTTATTTTATACATTGTGAATGAAATAAAAGATAAAAAAAAAAAAAAAAGTCATGGTTATTCCTTTGTTTCCAATCTTTTTCACTCGATTCTGGACCTTTTGAAAATAACGTGATCAAGCCTGATTTTCGATCACGCGATTGAATCGGAGCGTCCCTAGGAAGTACAGATAATTGTGTGAAAATTGAAGGAGTAGAAGTTAAAAAAGTAAGCTAATGGATAATTACTGCAGTGAAGTATAAATACCCCCAAATTTCTACTTGAGTAAGGTCATGAAGTATTTGACCTTTGTTACTTGGCACCTTAGATGTTGATACAGTTATCCACTCGCCACAGTTCCAGTTCAAAAGATCTGCACTTTTTTCTGTTACAAGTGAAGGAAAGGAAAAAAGTATCCTAGGAAATAAATATCAAGTTGAAAAGGAAAGTCCAAGGTAATGTTGAGACGGGCCACCATCTCTTTGTTAGGATAAAGCATTTTTTACCAGACACGCTTGTGCTAGCTTTTTGCCTACTTTGCAGTCTCCAACCTTGCATTATCTCAGCATCTGTCCACGCTGATTTTTCCTGATTTTGTGCAGCCAGAGTTTGTGTCAGTCTCTCGCTGCTGGCTTTTGTGTTGTAATCGGCACAGATTCCCTTCCAGCATCTTTGGCAACACGTTGCTTCCATTCACCTGGGTTGCTTGTATGCCAAAGCAGGCACAGTTCTGACACTGACGTCCTCTAACAAACCAACGTGGCATAATCAAAATGACTCTGAAGTGCTGATTTCTTTGCACTTTACTACTTTAGAATGCCTGTCAGAGTGACTCGGTGAATCGTTTTCGTTTTGTGTTTTTCGTTTGCGAGGAAGTTTTCACATTTGTGTTCAGTCCAGTCTGTCAGAAGTCTGTTGAGCCGCAAATACGACATGAAAAGTTGCAGTGATCTAAAGCGGGTTTTTGCTCTCCTCAGAAGTGGTGAGTCACATTGCATTTGGAAACACCTCTCACTCGCACAGTTGAGTTTACAGTCTGTTTTCCAATAGAGGAGAAAATGACAGCATGCAGCTTGTGACAGCTTATCAAAACCAGACCCACGTTTCCTCTTTCCCATATGTAGGACTCTTGTCATGTTAGTCCTCCTCAGCCTCATAAATCTTATAGGAGTGATGCTCATCTTGGGCTGTGTTTTATATAACACAGAATGAGAATGTGGCAAAACTATTGGAAAAAAAAACCTGCACACAAACACTTTATAAGCTCAAAAAGAATCCAGGCTGCAGATAAAAATCAATATTCAGTTATTAGGAATATCCGTATTTTACCGCTGCAACAAAGCAGTCAATATTTACTCTTAGAGGTGATTATCTTCTGTAACAACCTCCACAAGTTGAGGATCCTTAGTGCGCTTTTAACATCTTAAAATAAATGTGGCATCTTTAAAAGCAAATTAAAGACCTGAAATTGTTTTGGCTTTGCTCAGATTTCCCTCGTGAACTTGAAAACAGAACACAAGCATCTGGGCATGTTGTCTTTCATCATTAAATCGTCTTTTGAAAGCTCCCAAAAGGCTTCCGGTGCACAGCAACAAATGTCTTGTATTCTAAACCTTGGAGTGTCATCAGAGTCTGCTGGTAGGTGGATGTTAGAGTCGTGGACCTGACCTGAAATGATCTCTTAAAATTGCATTCACAAACGCACAGAAACAGGCATTTTTGCTATCGTTGCGTCCAATAACGCAGGTGTTACCTGATGTTTGCTAAGCGTTCAGATGCTTGACCTTGTTTCCTCACCCTCTCTGCCTCGATCATGTGCTTGCAGATCAAAGACGGTGCCTCAGGTGGTCCTATGAGTGAAGATCCTCACTTAAAGGCAGCCGACAGAGGTAAGTTATTAAACCTCACCGCCCGTCACTTCTATGTCTACTTTTAAAAGATAAATGGTTTTATACGCTTATGAAAGAGAAAACCCAGGTCAGAATGTGTATATGAATGTTGGTACCCTAGAATTAGGACAAAACCGCTTTATTGTTATTTCCTACACAAAGACAGCTGAGTGTGCCTAAATGAAACAGGCCCATTTAAAAAGAAATATGCATGAATTAGGTGGCAATCAACTTTTTTCATCATGACTTTTCTTATAACCTCGTTTTAGTGAAACAGGTACGGTTTCTTTTTGTTTTTAAAGGTGTCTTAGATTTACCTTGTTGTTGAATATTGGCAGCTTTGGGTGTCTGATGTAGCGTACCGAAAGTCTGTGCCGTCTTCAACCTTCTTCCTGTGCAAATCAGTGATGTTGTAGGGGCCACAGAGAAACTGTTTGCTCTAAGAAAAGTTTGTACGTCATAACCCCAAAATTCCACTGCCTCCGCTCCGCCCCCGCCTTCCGCAGCCGCTCGCTTCCGAACTCCGCTTTCACTGGTACCCGCTCTACAACGGCTCCGCTCCGGTGCGGAGACCTGAGGTGTGCAAACAGGCATACGCGGGATTTTCGAGATCTTGCCATACAGTCCGTGCAATAAATGCGGAAGTTAGATCCAAACACCCGTTGTGTGGGAGAAGCATCTAAATGAACTGTTTAATCTGCCCATCATGTGTGTTGAGAGATCAGCAGTGTTTGGATCAACAAAGTGTGACTACTTTGATAGTGGAAACTGTATTTATGGCTTACTTTTGTGCATTTAAAGTTCAGCCGCCATTGATAGTTGTTAAAAGTTGTTAAACCTGTGCATATGAAACAAAAAACGCCTTTTGTTTATCGATTTATTGTGAAAAACGGAAGTTGTGCTTGCTCCCTTTCCTGTTGGGCGGTTGTGATTCCTGTCCATTGACTGCGGAGGTGCTCCGGCGTCCGGAAAAAATAGAATCGATCCTATTTTTGCCGGATGGCGGAACGGCGGGCGGCGCACTGCGCCGCACGGCCGCAGTAGTGGAACAGCTCTGATTGACTACAACGGGACCGTTTTTGCTGCGGAGTTCGTGCCGGAGCGGAGCGGAGATAGTGGAATTTTGGGGTAAGTATTGATTTTTTTAAACCTGCATATTCCAACCCACGTCTACATCTATAGTATTTAAACTTAAGTGGAGGTAATGCTAACTGCAGGACAAAGATAGCCTGAGCTACTTCATACGTCCCTGTTGAATGAATGGAAGACAGCAAAGAGGAATGTTGGAGCTTCACTCACTTTCAGGATATATTGGGAACTTCCAGAATTTGAATGACCATAAGGTGTAAACTGGTCCAACAAAGTATGCCTTCACGCTTCCTTGTCTACGCCACACACACACACACACATGCCTTGAGGTATTTATTTGATTTATTTATTAACTTATGTTTTAGGAGATTAAAAACCGCTTAAGATGAGCCATCTCATTTTTGAGCGGGTCCTCCTACAATACAACAAACATAAGAAAGATGGCCGAAAAAAAATAACACAAATGAACAACAAATTAAAAGCAACAAAACATTTTTTTCTAGCATATACAAAATATATTTTGCTATATCTACACACAAATACACAAACCCACATATATATATATATATATATATATATATATATATATATATATATATATATATATATATATATATATATATATATATTAGGGCTGCACGATATTAGGAAAACCTGCGATATTCGATAACAGTGCTTAATATTGCGATATCGATATTACTCACGATAAATGAACAAATACAGTGTTGATGTCGTCTGGCGTGTGATGTCTGCTCTGGGTTCAAAGCAAACAAAAACTAATGCATGAATTCCATTACAACATAACATTTTTTATTGCAAAAATATTGAGCTGCACCTGCTACTGTATTAGCAGCAAAACAACAAACTTCATGCAGTTTCTCAGTGACTTTAAAACATCACCTCCACCATAAAACTTTTTCTGATGCTCCAAATACAGAAAAACATCCCTTACCAGGGTTTTTGAATAAATAAAAAAAATCTGAAAATAAGTTTAAATGCTAAATAAAAGTTAACATCACTTAAATGCAACAGCAAATTCTCTCATTGCTACTGAGCATTCTCTCCACTTATGTGGTTATGATATAAGGCTGTTGCTGTAACTGGGAAGTGAACTGTGCTGGGCCAAACTAGGAGAATATTAAGATTTTCTGAGGGAAAGAGAAAAACAATCGTCTACCTTTCAGAAGAGGAACTGGCAAAAAACTACATGGAAAATATGTGAAAACATTTGGTTTTAACCCCAAATTGAACAAGTTTAGATCTTAAAAAAGCAGCTCAGATGATGAAACTATGATTCTGGTAACAAGCTAACTAATTGAACTAGCTCCTCTAAGATAACCAGCTAGCAGAGCTTCTGACTGACAGTTTTTGTGCAGCAGCAAATCAACTATCCTGATTAACAAGGTTATAAAAGCTCATAAATGAAAAATCACTTTGATGTGTGGGGGAACTTTTCCAGGCCCTCTTTAGCAGGGTGGGACTGGGAGGAGAGTGCTGTAGCCTTTTAGCTGGAAGCTAACCGGAGCCTGGCGCTAACATCACCACCCGGTGGAACACTAGCGACATGAAGGTGGGTTGGTTCACCAGCACATGTCGGAGTCAGCCCGGTAAAAATTATTAACAACACCGAGCGGAGTCACGTTCACGTTTGAAAGCAGCGCTGATTCCAGAAACCTCAGCACAAAGTGCATTCGTTGCTCTGAGCCAGCATGATGAACAAGGGAACGGCGCCGCTAACTCAGTTCGGGTGTTGCGTTCCACCAATCCTAAGGGTCTACGTAGGGGGTGGGCGTATTACGTGAACGGACCCATCTGATTGGCCGCATATCAGAAGGGCTACATTTGATTGGTCAAATAATACTTCCGCGTAAAAAACAGAGCTGGTTTACAAAAAGTTGATGTATGACACGGATGGAAATGTTTGAACCAAACATTTAGCGCCGTTTTTGACGTGCTTTGCGATGGGCCTATCGCACGTCCTGTTATCGCAATGACGATAATTTTTCGATATATTGTGCAGCCCTAATATATATATATATATATATATATATATATATATATATATATATATATATATGTATGTATAATTCATATATATGTATATATATGTATGTATAATTCATATATATGTATATATATATATACATATATATATATATATATATAGATATAAGAGTGTAAGAGTGTGACACGGACTTATGAATTAATGTGCAGATTACTGTATCATATATATATATATATATATATATATATATATATATATATATATATATACATATATATATATATATATATATATATATATGTATATATATGTATGTATAATTCATATATATGTATGTATATGTATGTATAATTCATATATATGTATATATATATATACATATATATATATATATATATATATATATATATATATATATATATATATATATATATATATATAGATAGATAGATAGATAGATAGATATATATAAGAGTGTGACACAGACTTATGAATTAATGTGCAGATTACTGTATCATATATATATATATATATATATATATATATATATATATATATATATATATATATATATATATATATATATGCAGAAAGGCAAGCGATGCAAAATGACAATTCATATACTTAGGAAACGTTCTAATTAGGCAGTGTAGGCAAAGCAATTGCAAGTTTACATAACGTAATGATTTGTTCTTGCTTTCATTAAGTTTTTACTTCTTAAAGGTCTTGTTCTAAAGAAACTGTGTGTACGTGTTCCTGTAGAAATATGGTCACTTTGAGCTGCGTAAGCATGGTGAATGTGAACATTTTCTTCAGCCCTTATCTGCTTTAAGCTTGGTTTATGCTTGACGCATTCACTTTCCGTGCGGTGATGCGGCTTGCGGATGGAACGCGCTTCACAACTCCCAGCGTTTATTGTTCGTGCGGCTCGTCTCTGAGGTGAGCCAATATTCTCCCAAACTGAACGGGGCAGCATGGAGTTCTACGGCATGCATCCAACACTACACCATAGTAGAAGTAGAAATTACTGTTTACAACATGGCATTTCAGCATTTTTAACAGCGTCCTCGTCTTTTCCGACAGTGCGAGCTATTTCTCTCCAAGAATTATTAACAACATGTTGATCACGGTGATCTCTGAGAGCTGAATCATACAAATGTCTGTATTTACGAACCTCTGCCATACTAGTTCTTGCCGGTCCGCCATGTTTTTCCGCGTCCGTCCGTCCGCGTGATTAGAAATTTTCCGAGGTGCACGTTGCGGAAATCTTGGGCCGTGCGGAGACGCGGTGGAGGGGCGTGGTTGTTAAAATGACTTTTCCGCCAGTCTCTTCTACGTCACAGGGAAAATTGGTATTCATGACCCCGTCCACCTTGGCTTGTGACCACATGAAGACTGTACTGATTTTGTGACTATGAGAGAGCAAAGTGTCTCATCTAAAAGCATTACCAACTCCACGACATGGCAGAACACATTTGGGATTGTGTTGTTTTTGGAGATACCATTTAACATTCATAAAACATCAGCGTTGCATTTTTACCCAAGTAAGGAGAGCAAATGTTGGCAGCGGAAGAGTCATGCTGATGTGGACCAATCAGAGGTGAGATGTTTGCAGATCATCAATACTAATGAGTAAGACTCAAAATGGTTCAGTGACTGAATTATCTGTTAGGGAGCTCTGCAGAGGCCTCTTAATCATCCACTGATTAAAGTCAGGTGTGTTGGAGCAGAGAAACAACCAAAACAAGCTGGACTAGTCATCCCTGGTCTAGTTTTTTACATCTAAAGACCAAATCAGTAATGTAGTCCCTCACCCATTCAAAAGTCTTTATAATGTTAATAATGTTTTTTAAAGTTCAGATTCTGGCAAACTTTCAAAAACATTGTTTTACTAGCAAAAACGAAC